TTGCTCGAAATAACATTGAAGAAAAGATGCAGTGGCAGAAGAAGGCTAAACACAAGATAGTGTCAACACATCAGCAAAAAATTGCCCCGTGGTGGTTGATGGTTTGGTTGAATGGAAAACAGACATTGTGAATGGGCTGGGGATGTTATATGCCTTCGCCCATTCTCCAAGCTAAACCTAGAGCATAGATGATTTGTACCACTGGAGCAAATAGATCTAATCCTCATTGTGGGCCACAGAAGGTTGCGCACATGTAGCCATCAGAATAGTTGGAGAAGATGATTGGAGTTCTAAAAAGCAAAGATCTTAAAAAAGAATATCATAATTCTAAACATGCAATTCTTAAATTTCTCGGGGGTAAGATAGAGAACCAAAGAAGAGAGGAAAAGGGAATATTTATAGGCATGGGGTAGGTGAAACATGTCCAAATCTTAGCAGTTGACTCGACTCTTAAAAAATCACTGATGATTCTCAACCGAAGCATCATTCTATTCAACCAAAACTTTTTGTCATGCACGATCAATGCTAACGTCAAAATTTTAGGACATAGCAGTCTCCTAAAAAGTAATTTGAATTCCCAACACGATGAAAAGTTGAAAGGATTCAATTTCTCTGTAACTTGGCTTCCCCAATCTAAGTGAAAGAGGTCAATGTTATATCCTAAGAATTAACAAGCCTAATGAGCTCTTAAGAGTTGGCAACATATCATAATTAACTAGCTGAGTCCTATAATTTGAGAGCCCAACCCGGGGGTGAGCAGCACAAATCTCTGTAGCAATTCGAGTCTGAGGCGAGAGATGTCTTTAAGCCAGGACTTGCTAAAAGACCCTAAGCCCCAGATAAAAAGCGGCTACAGCTTGAGCTTCTCTAAGGAATATCTCGAATGATGAAATGACCTATCAGCTTCATCAATGTCACTCGTATTTAATGCACAGCCAGTTAGTGATTATACTTTACCTCCTAGTCACCATCGTATTAAATGCATGACCAGAATCATTATGGCTTCTCGAGCCAGAGTCATAATGACTCCTCGAACGGCACCAGCTCTTTAGCCATTCTGTCACTATCAAATTAAATTTAAAGATGACTCATTCAATTGACTATTGACACGTAAAAAGTGCAGTCTAACCGACTGACTACATTAACCCAATCGAATTACCAATTTGTTTCCATAAATTCTCTTTAAATTTTGGATAATCCCACTACACTAATATATGTTGGAAAAAGTGATCCTAAAATTAGATTATACATTTCAACAAGCATGCTAAACCTATTACTGACTTAAACGTCAGAAAGCACACTGAGGGAAATCTCCTCTAGCTCTCTAAATGTGTTACTTGTGCAAATACTTGCTTCATCCTAATTAATCAATCATCAGAGAAGATTAAGGAATCCTAAACTCCTCCAAATATCTGTCCACTCATATAATTAACTTTCTAACATAAATACAATATAACCGCAATGACTTATCTCCCATCTTCGTTATAATCATAAAGGGCTACACACAAATGAATTTCATCCTCCTCAAAATATACATCCACATCCTTAGATTTAAAACTATCAAAATTATCATAAATATTAACTTAACTAATTAATAATATTTTTTAAAAATAATAAGATTGTTAAACTTCCTATATTTAATAATAAGATTATTAATTAAAAATCAAAACTTAATAATAACACCTAATAGGTTATATTTGACCTAAAAAATGAGTTTACCCTCTACAAAATAAATAGTGCAATATTATATAAAATTGAAGTAGATTCTGCATTGTTTGGTATATGGGAATGGATGAGAGTGAAATGCTCATTCTTACTATTCATTCATGCGTACCAAATACAATACCTTTTAAGAAACTAGAAAGTGCATTCCCCACTTCTAAGTCATAATTCCCACTTTATGTGAGAATGGACAATCTCAATAAGATGGCAAGGCATCAAAAAAGATTCTGTCTTGTTTGGTATGCAGGAATGGATGAGAGTGAGATGTTTATTCTCAATTCTTGTTGATTTGTATGGTTGTACCCACATAAAAGCCAGAAAGTCCATTCCCATTTCCCAATCATAGTTTTCACTTTATGAGGGAATGAACATTTACAATAAAATGATAGGGACTGAGCATTTTCAATTAAGTGGAAATTAATATTTTAAAATAAATTTTAAATATGCCTTGATTGCTTATGATTACCCATACCAAACATAAAAAAATTGTTATTCTCACTTCATTCTATAATCTCAGCCAAACATGAGAATGACAATGAGCATTTTATTCCCATACTTTTATCATTTTCTCATTCCTTATTTCATTCTATTCTCACTTGCACATTCTCGCATATCAAACGAGGCATAAAAGGAGAAAATTACAAAGTAGGAGAAAATTATAAAGTAGGATATTAGTGTTAAGTGGAACTATTAAAGTTAGAAATACTGAAATTAAAATTGAATAATATATTCTAAAAAGAGAAACCTAATTTAAAAAACTATAACATCTTTATATAATTACAATTTTAGAAAATCTTGATATAAATTTGATAAAGCTTAGTTAGCATATTTACATCGATATCCTAAAAATTCAATAAGACATTCAAAATTATGCATTCTTAGGGTGAACAAATGGTCAGTGTAGTCAGTTTTGACTATTTTTTATCAAACCAAACAAAATTGAGCTAGATTCAAAATCAAACCAAACCGTGTCAAATATTTGTTCAGCTCGGTTGTTCAGTTTGGCCTTAGACATGTAAATCTAGAGAGTTTTTGATGAATTGTTTAGAAGCCCAAATAGGGGTCTGATGAAAAAAATTGACTAATAATAAAGAACGGGTCATATCTCCTAAATTGCACTTTAAAATTAGACATATAATATACATATATTATTTTTTTTTGAGATAGAGTCAACCAAACTGTCTAATTCTTGTTTTACCTTGCCAAATTCCCTCTAGATGGAGTGATATCAAATTAGACATATAATATACATATATCATATTTTGGGGAATGTTTTAGGAGTCTGTTTTAACTAGAAAATGAATCTGATTTGGTTCTAAGTTTGAGTGATTGATTGTCTCAATCATGGGGAGTCTTTTAAGGATAATTTGTTATTTTAAGTTTTGTTAAGTTCAGGTCCTGGTGGGAGTCTATTTGTTTTTCTATTTAAGCAAAGGGTTGTAAGACTTAGGGGCATAACATTTCATCAGTAGAATTTCTCTTATTATATTTTCTTCATGAAATCGAAGATCTTTTTTTGTGGATTTAAAGAGCAACTCTTGGTGGGATCTGAGGCTTATCACTTCTCACTGGTTTAATTTTTAGCTAAAAGACAAGGCTGTTACTTCTTCTAACCTTTCACTCATCCATATCTTAATTCAAGGAGAAACTCGATCATCAAATCAAATATTTATTGATTAAGATATATAAAAATATTAGCATCGATTATCCATTCAACTTGAACAAGCATAAGTTTTAGGCAATTATGTTGAGAGCGGTTGGTTCGGTTATTTTGGTTTTAAATATTTCAGAATCGAACCGATCTAAAATTTTTCTAAAACCAAGCCGAACAGGCAAAATTCAATTGATTTAATTGGTTTGTAGTGAACTGTGCTCACCCCTACACATAAATATGGAAGAAATCTTAATTAGTATGTATATATATATATGTATGTATATGTATACATGTGTGTGTGTATATATATTGTTAACAAAAAAGAAAAACTTTAGATAACAATTTAACATGATAATAAGTGCATGTATAACTTGTCCTTTTCAAAGCAAAAGAAAAGTATATAACTTTTACATGTATATTATGTATGGAAGTACGATATGAGTATATACATCCGTTTTAACAATCCTACTTAGATAATATTGTTATCCATATACTACTGTCTAATCACTATGAATTCATGACAGCATTGAAAGCTGTTCAGTTTGTGCATGCTATTGACTTTAGAAATGCTGAGTTTGAGGGAGATACTAAAAATCTCATAATCCACGGTTAGGTTCCGGTGTTTTCTGTTTTTGGGCATATTGGTAATGACATTCGAAACAAATGTCAAGAATTTGAGACATTCCACTTTTGGTAGTTCGAATAATCGAGAATGTCGTGGCTCACGCGCTAGCAAGAAAGGCAATTGCTCTAGAGGATCCTTCAGAATTCATTCTTCACATATTGCAGCAGGATAGATCCTAGACATGAGCTTAGAATTTAGAATTTTATCTCTATTTTTGAGTTTAAATGCTCCTGGGCTATTATTAATGTTTGTTTATGAATAAATAAAATAAGTATGTTTTGGCCAATTAATCCTTTTCTCTACGTACATAATATACACCATTCTGTTAGGAGATCAAATCAAATCATCTAAAAAGAATTTTGTACTTCATGAGAAGGAGGATTGACATAATTAATATAATTGTTTGGTATATGTTCATTTGGAAAATACGTAAGATCTATTTTCATGTACCCATGTGTTTTCATTTTCAAGAACTTCCGATACTACCTTTCCATTGTTCTTGGTCTACAAAAGTGAATTGTATTAGTGTATCATTACATTGTCGAGATGTACTTAACATCTGTACAATGTACTCGAAGAACATAGAAGGTCTAACTATGTCAACTTGACCTTTACATTATCCCAAAACCCCTTCAAAAACTTAGAAGACATGATATATACACTGATTCACTTTATAGTCATTAATAGTTATCTAAAAATCTGTGATTTTGACATGCGATATGTTGAGGATCTCCATGCTGATGCATGGGGACGTGTTTAAACTTATGATAGAGTCAATATTTATTACGGGCAAAAAAAAGATCATCTTATTAAACATCAAGTAGGCAGTAGTGAAAATGAAAATATTAAGAATAATATTATTAAAAGAAGAAATATAGAAGTTCTAAGTCAACTAAAACGTGACAAGCCTTGAGCTAAAAATAAAATTTGGAGCTATATGTAGAGAAATCTATGTACGTATATGTATGTATGTATATATAAACACATGTAGATGTATACCCAATAAATCAGAGGGGATCTTTCCGTTGCTGAATCTGCCAGTGGGCTTGCCCCCGTTGAAGTCGATACCGTAAGGAGGGAAATTACACTTGACGATGGTATTAATGTCATTGTTGTTTCCAGGGTCCATGATCGAGTCCCCGAACACGATTAATGCTGGCACTTTAGGTGCAGTTGCAGGAGAATCTTGAGCCAATGCTTGGCGCTCAACCTTAGACAGATTGGAGATGATGACGATGCAGAAGGCTATTGGAGTTATGAGAAACCTCATCTTGTGCAGTGTGGTAGCTCTTCTCTTTTCTGAAGTAGGGCTTTGCTGCCTTAAATAAAGAAAAGGAGCTATTGGTATTTGCGTAGCTGGCAATAAAGAGTGGTGGGAGTGGTGTTTGGTTTCTATTAGTAGCTGGCAATAAAGAAAAGTAAGCTTTTCTAGTAGTTTGAGCTTGTGCTCATATGCAATCTAACTGTATTGACAGCTCATAGTGATATGTGTATTTAAATTTGCTCGTAAGATATCTTTTATACTTCGTTATAAGATGTTCTACGAAGAGCCCTCTTTATCAGTTCTTTTCCCTTTGAGAGCTTCTCTCTCTACCGATCTTACTTTTCTAGTTAGGTGCACGTAATGGCATATATTTATGATAATAATGTGATTCCGGTGAGGGTGGGTGGAACTTTCTGTCATGTGGCCACTCTCCTTTTCTATTATTAATGTTTGAGCCTAAATATGTAGAGAGCTTTGTGTATGAAGTTTAAGGATATGTGGGTGTACGGGCAGCACTTGAGATGGAGGAATTGGTTTACTAGGTTGCCCAGATAGTTCTGATACTGGATGGATATGTGATTAATGTCTAGAAAGATGAAGAAGCAAGCTATATATCATGTTGCGTTGTAGCATTATTAAATCTGGCCAAGTAGAGCTCCACCCTTAACTGGTCCATTAGAAGCTTGATGTTGCGTCTGAATGTATCAAAGCCATGGAAATTAGCACTCCTACTTGAAACATGTATGTATGGTTGTGCTGTCATTTTAAAGTATGTTAAAAGTACAAAATTATAACCCTTGGTCCTCATCATAATTTAGATGATTTGGTACAGTTGCACAGATCTTTTGTTGCACGTCGGCGGAAGCGTGCACACAAACCAAACGAGTCGTCGAGCAATGAAAGGAGAAACAACCAACAAGTGCAATTCACAAAAGAACGACCAAAACCAATCACAAACACAGAAATTTACGTGGTTCGGCAATTGCCTACGTCCACAGGGAGATGATGGGGAGATTTCACTATATGGAGGAGAAATACAATGAGTTACAACTCTCAAACACTCAAAATAACCCTCACCAAAAGATCTCAACTCACCTCTCAGAAATCTCCCTCTCAATGTGCTCAAAACAACATCTTTTTCTCTGATAATAATCTCTTCTAAAACGTTATATATATATATATACCCCTAAAATCAAAATAGACCAGGAATCCAATAATTCTAAAATCAAAACCAAAACAAACTATGAATCATGTTTGGCCCAATAACTTGCTA